CCTAGTGTTTTTCAGGAGCAGTTTTATAGTTTGAGGTCTTAGATTTAGATCTTTGATCCATCTTGACTTGATTTTTCTCAGAGGTGAGAGGTAGGGGTTCAGATTCATCTTTCTACAAGTGGAAATCCAGTTTTCCCAGCACCATTTGTTGAAGAGGTTTTCCTGTTCCCACTGGATTGATTGGTACCCCTTGTCAAAAATCAGTTGACTGTATGTTTGGGAATGTATAAGGCCCAGGTGGTGGCGCAGTGGTAACAAGTGATAAGTTTTAAATAATCAAGAAGTGATTATTTAGTGAATTTATTTTATATAATCGAGTGAAATCAATCCTCTCCTCAGGATTTCTACTTAGGTATTTCTTTTCCTTCTATGGTTTTAGCACTCCTTAAAATACAGGAAACAAACAAACAAACAAACAAACAAAAAACAAAAAAACACAGCCTGGGTTAACCTAACCAAATTGTATCAAATCAAAACTATAGATTTATAGATTATTTTTCTTGTGGTTATGAAAACCTGCTTTGTTTTTAACTTTTTATCTGTTCATCACTTAAAATTCTGGAATCATTTTTTTGTGTGTGCAATTAATAAATTTATAGTCAATATCTTATTTTTAGAAACTACTATTGTACAAAATGTTAATAAGAACTCTATAACATACCAAACGTTTGATCTACAAAACATCTGAAGTATAATCCAAGATAACAGACACTGTGCAGATATGAGGGGATTTATTTAGCTATTTCAAAAATGATGGCTGGTGCTAAGGTGAGCGTTAATGAGAGATACGATTAGGGGTTCTCTTTGGTAAAAGTGTGGTTAGACTTTGTACTTTTGTGTCTCTCTTCTGTGTATTTGACAAATCCCCATGTCTGGATACATTGTCGGATGTTATGCCTGGAAGAATTGTAATGCTTTCATTGCATATAGGTATAAAAATGGTTTCCCAGGAGTGGTTTTCCATGACTCCTAGAGAATGAGCAGTATGACTAAGTTGTTATTTTTGTTTTAGCCAGACAACCAGACACAGGATTCTTTAGAATCCATTTGGGGTTTGAGCTGAAGAGAAGATTCTGCATTTCTGTGATTAGATTTTCATTTAACATGTAGGAGAAGCATTAACCTTACTAGCTCTTTGATTCTTTTAGTTTTTTCATGATTTTCATTGAAATTATTTTAATCCTTTCACTGATATTATTAATGGCTCCCCAGATAAGCCCTTAATCTTATAGTTATTACCAAAAAATATAGTTATAATGGATTATCTCAAGCCACTGAACAATATGGAATACATACATAAAATGACAGATGTGCAGAGAAATACTTAGTATTTTAGCCTTAGTAAATTATTCATGCAAACCCTCCTGTTGGTTTCTGAAGTAAGAATTGTTAGTTAGCTGAAATAACTGGTTAATTCTACACATGCAAATTCTTGCTTGCATTTGAACTACTAGAGCTACTATATTTACACTTGTTTAAAATCAACATTTTTACTTTTGGAGTGAAGAAATTCAGTTCCATGTTGTGAAATCCTAAGGGACAGGGTGACCATGGCCAAAGAAAGCTGCTTCCGGGGACCAGCAGATGGCATAGCAGTTACGCCACTGGTCTCCCGCATAGTCAACAGACCCTGTGGCTTAAAATTTACACCAGGCACTTGTGCATGTGTGCCAAAAGTCCCCGAAGGAGAATGGAGGGGAAGAAATTGTGGTGTGGCCATGGCCCCCAAGGGGATAATTTCTCATTTTCTGTCTCTGTCTTAGGCATGTGCCCTATAGCAAAAAATCTCTCTTTAAAAAACAAAACAAAACAAAACAAAAAAACGAAGAGTGAAACTCCTTCTTATGAACTTGCTTGCAATATAATGCCAAACATAGCATGTTAAACAATGCTGTTTATTACTAATTATGGTATGGACATATTATACTAATAATGATATAAGCAATTTGAATATATCAAATGCATTTGAATTAAAATCATAGAGAAAAGCATCCTTTCTAAAAGGTACCTCAGATTAATGTGTTTCCTTTTATTTAAATTTATTTAAACTTTTAGAAAGAGGCTATTTTTGCATAGAAAAACATGTCATGACTTTGCTGACAACTCTGTGTATCAGCATCTAAATATTTTTAAGCATGTCTTATGGAAGGACAAGTACAAAAAAAGTAGTTATAACTGTATCATTGCATAACCTTGTTAAAAATACTTCATAATTTTCTTCAAATTCCTATATTAGATCAACATCATAGGCAAGGAGAATCACGAAATGTCACTCATGCAGGTGTTTGAATACACAATGAACAAATGTGTTAAATTGTGTCCTAACATGTATTTTAGATGTGAATAATTTAGAACTTAAAAAAACTTGAACTATATGACACTGAGCATTCCACAATATGTACTTCACTCTGACAATTATTCTGGGGTTTGATGGATAAGTAAGGCAGGTACGGATTTTGCCCACAGAACTGTAGTTTTCTGACAGATGTAAAAACAACAGATGTAAAACTGAGGCTGGCAGGTGGCTTAGTTGTTAAGGTGCTGGACTCCTTCATGACTGAACATGGTTTGAATCCTAGATCTGGCAGCTTGAAAATCATACATGACCAAAACCCCAAGAGGAGAATGGAGGAGAAGGGATTGTGGCATGGCCATTCTCCTGGGGGATGATTCTCATTCCTCCTATCTCTGTCTCTCTTTCTCTGGTGAACACACATGCCTTATGGCAGAAACCTTTAAAGAAAAAAAAAGTTATCACTTTTTTAATAATCTATTTTTATAATGTATTTATCGAGCAGTTGCAAGATAAAGGTTCTTTCAGTTGGATGATACTAGGGAGCATTTCACAGAGAGGAGCTGCAGAGCTGGTCTTTGGAGGATGGCAGCATTAGTGTGAGCAGAAGAGACAAAAATGATGCTTGATGTGTCAATGGAAGAAGACCAGTAAAAGCATAAAAGGGAACAACTTCCTTCCAGTAACCCTCCTCCATCCGTTCTGCTTCACAAGCTCCGCACTATTCTATTGAGGAGGTAGCACTAGGTAGATGCCGAGTCTCTTCTAACTGTGCCGTTGCTCGTGGCTCAAAACCCTCCCAGCAGGTCAGATCTACATGGTCTTAAGGAATCTTATTACT